TCGTGGTAGCAATAAACGTAGCCGTGATACGATCCTCCAGCCTTTGCTATTGTTGCGAAAGGATTTGGGCATACTCACCATGCAGCCAGCGATAGCAATAGCTAGGCCAAGGGAATACATTCAGCAAGTTCACGCAGGCATGCTCTCCGGGTCTCTGCAAGTTGCAGCCGAAGACTGCAGCTTCACAAGCTCATCATACTGCGCATTCAGGGTGGTCAAGCTATTTGAAATAGACTCCGCAATCCTCAGATTTCAGGAGACCAAACTTAACACAAAAGAGGCTCGCATGCAGTTGATGAGGAGCCAAGCAGCTGCTTGGCTTTTGGAGTAGCCACCTTGTTCAATTTCTCCTGCATAATTGTGAGTGTTAAGTAGGCAAGTGTAAAACACAAGCTTATAGAACAAGAGCCAAAGTCCTTCACAGCATCTGCGTTGTCAATTTTTCGCCCCAAAGTACTCAAGAACTGCGGCAACAACGTCGAGGGCGCTGTGTTGTGTTGCAAAGCAGGGAAATTGATCCTGCAAGAGTTGAATCTATGTCACATATAGCACACCTGTACGCCTAGCTGATTGGAAGCCTAGTTGCTTGAAGCTAGCGCCAGCTTGAAGAATAGCTTCGCCTGAAGGATTGGCAGCTGCATCTCCAGGGGGCCCGTGGTCGTCTTCATCAGCAGGAGCGTCGTGCAAGCCACTTTCTACAAGCAGGGTTGCATCGCTGTCCTTAATTATGTAAGGCCAGCAAATTAATTAGGGGATATAGCATATGTACGCAAGAAACATTATAGCAAGGCACCTCCATTTCTGCAGTCCCCACAAATTCCATACGTGTTCCTGACTCGATGCTGCGGGTCCATTCTTGGTCGTAGGGGATGTCAGCTTCTTCTTCACCATGGATCTTGTTTTTGCGCAATCTGCCCCGAGCACGGGCCCACTCGAAAGCATTGTCCGCCATAGTCCTTATATACATCTGGTTTATAGGGTTTAGGATTTCTAGGGCTAGGGTCTTAAGGTTTACGAGCTACCTTAAACTCTAACCCTATACATCTAGCCAAGATTCTGGGAGAAAGACCGATTGTCCATCAGCCACTGCTTAGTTTTGTACCCTCCAGTATCCTTTGTTTGCTTCTTGCGCTCGTGCCACTCCTTGACAGTAACCTCCACCTTGTCCCAAGAACCATGTGCAACCAGAAGCGCTCTCAGCTTCTCGCCTAGGATGCATGCCCCTATGATGCGCAAAAAATCCCTGATATCAGAGTGCATGTGATGCTAGCTGCAAGCAAAGATCGACCTTCACTTGTCTGACCCATGTTGCGCACCTCCTCTGAGCACTTGGCCTTGCCCTTGGAATCGTCTTGCAGATGACGCCGCACCCTGGGCAAGGAACGAAGCATGGGTAATGGATGGGTTATTTAGGCCATTCTTGTACTATAGAATTTTTCCCCATACACCTATGCGGTAATATACTCTTTCTTTGTCTTTCACTCTTTCGCCCTCAGTTATTCTACTTGTAATTGTTACATTAGGCACCTCCAGTATCCCTCAGGCTTCGCTTGCAGGGATGCTTGCGATGGCTTCTTCTTCATAGGAGTGGATGATGGGGAGGGTCTGGGCTGGCTAGGAGGGATCCTTTCGGTTTGTGGGGGCGCTGTACCAGCCTCAGGCAGAAGACCTTCTACAAGCGGCGGAGGGGGGGGAGCCTTTGGCACTGGCTGGTCAATAGCAGAAGCAGGGATGGAGGGCTGGGAAGGCAGAGCGGGGCTTGGGGCTGATGCAGGCTTTGGGGGAGGCGAATACTGCAAAGTATCTGTGCTGCCTACAGCTGCGTCCAGTGACGTCTTGGAGGATTGGGCCAGCATCCTCAGTGTATCCGATTCAGGCAGACTTCGCTTTTCCGAGAGGGGTTCGGAGGGGCTGGCACCTGGGGATGGGGCGGATACTTTAGGCGGTGGGGTCCCTTCTATGGCAGCAAGCTGGTTGGCTGAAGTCAAAGGTTCAGCAGCAGAGCCCGGCACAAAAGCACCACTGTTGCTGGCAATGGTTGGGGCTCCTGGCATGGGGCAAACAATATGATGTTAACCACGCAGTTAGTTTATGATTTTGAGTCCCATCAAATCGCAACCAAATTGTACAGTCCTGGAACCATTGGGGGAACAGGGCTTGGAGCAGTACCGAGCACCATGCCCTGTAGATTCTGCAGCCTGTGCTGCGCAGCCTTGGCAATCTGGGGCTGAGGCAGAAATGGGGACTGATTTCTTGACAGTTCTTACAAGCAGCAAGGATGCGTGAATCCAGCTCCGCTTCATCCAAGTCTTCCAAAGACATAGAGGAGTCCCAGGCGTGTAGCACACCCACAGCTTCGTTCAAGCTTTCAAGTGAGCGCATGAGACTGGCCCAATCACCAAAGCCCAAGATGCTGATGATCAAGCAGCATGGGTTCAAGAATGTTGCACAGAAGACCATGCTAGGGGTGCTTTCAAGATTTCCGTCTTTTTAGCCTTCACGCCCCAGTGAGACCGAATCTGGCCAGCTTCTCTGAAGTGGTGTCCGATAATTTCAGAAAAACATTCGTTTTCTGAATTTCCATTAGTCTCGAGGAGGCCAAGGTACGTTTTTTGAGTGTTGCGGGATGTTGCGGGAGTGTTGCGGGAATGTTGCGGGTATGTTGCGGGGCATGTTTTTCTGAAGATTTCCGTAAATCTAGAAAACATTCGTTTTCTGAAAAAACATTCGCTAGCAATTCCTGTTCTCTGTAAACCAGGACCACACCTGGAATGGGAGGATAAAGCCTTGCAAATCCCTAATCATTCGCTCCTTGTCTCAGCAACTCGTTGTACTCTTCTCTCAAGCGGCTGTCACCAGTCACCTGGGGTCGAGCATGGGGCAGATGTTATGGTGCAAAAGGGGTTTAGGGTTTAGGGTTTGGGTGGAAAAGGGGCTTTGGAAAGGAAGTTTGAGAACTAGGTTTGGTATAATTTCGCTGCTACAGGTTCCACTAGGGATTATGGCCACCTATAGCCACCATAAAAAGGGCCGACAAGCACAATCTGCCTGCTTGACAAGGAGCCCTCGCTTTCAGTTCCTCATCGAATTGCTGGATTGTGGGGCCCCAAGTCTCTGGAATTCGGAGGTGGCGATTCTCTCGAGCGTAAAAATATGTTTGGGCCAGGTTTGCATCAGACCAGACATCACCCAGTGGTAGCTCAGCAAAAAGTTCACGGTCAGTTTTTGTTCTTGACACAATAGACTTGTTCCGCAAGTCCCTGCGATCGTGCTGCGCTTCCGTTTCGTAAAAGGCTCGGAACAGTTGGGCAACAAAGCGCCTGGGATAGATCCTTAGTACTTCTAGACAGATTTCAATGGGGATATGCAGCCTAGGACCTAGGAGGCTTGAAGCTTGTAAAGGATCACTGTTGCCAGGGCTCCCAGATTCAGTTAGCTGGCTCGCTCCAGCAAACTTCTGCCTGCCCTCTTTGTTGATGTACTTTCCTTACATGTCTAGGGAGTGAGGACTGGGGAGAAAAAGGGATCCGCCCATGACCTTCAAAATTAATGATATGCTATGATCTTTGCAGCCAGGGGGCTGACAGTCTTGATTTCAGTTAGGGCTTTCCTCCTTGCAGAATTGAGGATCCCAGCGTCCAATCTTTTGATCAGGGGGCTGTTGGAAAATAATACAGTTCGTTTGGGACTCTTTGCCCCCCACAACATCATCCACAGGCCCTGCCGGTAAACCTTGGCTAGGCACTCAATAGAATAGAACTAGGGTTGCAAGGTGATAAGGTTGACCTTCCTGCTTTGCCTTGCTGAATTACAGCGAAGGGGCCCAAGCCACCGAGTTCGTCAACCACTCAAAGCGGTTGTGGCGAGTAAGCAATGTGCAAATAGGATGTTCCAGTACCCACACTGTATGCATAGCTGTCATGACGAGTATGGCCAGGATGACCCTTAGAATCCTGCTGAAAGACACAAGAAATTCTCTCATAAGTGCAGTACATAATATGATTGCAAGTAAGGTTCCGAGATATCATTCGATTAGCCTCCGCCACGTAGGGTAAAGACTCAGCACCTCGCCAACAGATGTAATCTCTCTTTGAGGTACCCCTGTTGGGGATCCCCCAGCTGGCGCATACCGGGCCAATGAGGTTGAATGCTGATTCATTCTCCGAGATCACCACCCACAGTGTAAGCCTAAGGGAACAAGACCACAACAGAACATGAGCTTCAGCACAGAACACATATTGCAGATTGAGGACTCCATTAAGCAAAGGCACAGCAGGCCAGCATCACTATTGATGTTCATATGCGGGCTCCGGTTGATGTCCGCAGTAGCCACCTTCAGGCCCCTTTCCGACCTTGGGCACCATATGATAGGTTTCGAAAGACTGGCAACTACATACCCAGCGAATCATGCAGGATATACAGTACATGTTTAAACTCAGGCCGTCAAGAAACCATAGTTTCGAACCATTTGCCGCGCCAGCAAACAAATCCAGCATATCGAAGCGGGACTTGGGAAGTGTAGAATTGCTCCATAGCAGCATGAGGATGATGGCGATGAGCACCTTATAGGGGCCATGTCAATGTTTGTTACAGGGAGCCTGCCTACAGGTAGCAAGACTCTAGTTGGACAAGCAGCTTTTGGCGCACCGACTTCAATAAGCCGCACCATTAGGGAGGAGTTGGGCAGGTCCCGGGGCATCGTGTCAAAACTGCATCTACCCTAGGACGTAGATCTAAGCGGCTGCCTCTGGACACACCCAACATATACAGTCTTCAAGTAGCGCACGTGATTCCACAAAACTTGGCAAGCAAGGGGGGGGGCTCGCCATCGATGTTGTGAGCTGCAGCACGACGAAAAGCCATTCCAGCGAAACTTGTTTTTCCTAGCAGACCCCATGCCCACATCGGTCCACAAAAGCAACTCCTTCCCCACGCAAGTTGCTAGCCAAGCCTTACAAGGAACCCGCCTCGATCACCATCAAGCACCGGAGATTCAGCAGTCGAGGCACCTGACACAGGGGACATGGGGTTCGGGTTGAGGCACTAGTGTTTCCATAGGTTCAGGGTTTGTAACCATATTTCTGATGGGACTTGTTTATCCCCAGGCGATTCCTAAGTGCATGTGAATAAGAAAGCATGCTGCCAATAGCAGGTATGCAGAGCTGCAGACACTGGTGTATATTATATTATATTATATTATACATTATATATATACTATTATATAACTCACGCGTGAACGTAAAGCTCCCAAAGAAATTCCCCCCTGGCCTTCCCAAAATTTCGAAGATGATCCAGAATCGCCACGAAGTACCTGCAATGCACACAAGTTTAGTGTTTAGGGCTTACAAATAGCTTAGGGTTTATTGGGTCTATATAGAATTTATAGGGTTTAGGGTTTTCATAGAATTTATGAAGGGTTTAGGGTTTTCATAGGGTCCAGGGTTGAGGGTTTATAGGGTAAAGGGTTTATAATACAGGCTTAGGGTTTATAGGGCTTATTCAAGGAATTGGCGCACGTAAATCGCGCACAGCACGAAGGCGATGGCAATGAAGTTGCAAGCCCTGGCCGTGACAAAACTAACAGCTCACAACAACAAATGGGCTTGATGAAGCATTGCTATATGGCAGCCTTCATTTTTTCTGCGGAGCTCGGGATCTATACGCGTGAAACACCAAACTGCACAGACTGTGAACCCCTTGCCTGCACAGACCCAAGCTGCAGCAACATCCATGGAACTTTCCCCATCCAAATGCACTGACGCAAAGAATGGCGTCAAGCTCAGCAAAACTCATGTCGAGGTCATCCGCAACACATCGTGTTAGCACACAATATGGCTTGGCATCTTCTCGGATCACGACGCGTTTTTGTAGGCCTGAGATGCTCAACCCGGCTTCCACAAGAGGCGCAAGATTAGCTTGAATCTACGAAAGAAAGCAGTCACTACAAACCATTTTCAATATGCTAGGAAACCTCCTTACCCTTTGCTTTGGCTTCCTCCTCTGTACACCCTGCTTCCAACGCAGCTCTGCGAGCCAAATGATACGCGGTGCTCTTCCTGCTATTCCTGGCTTTTGTCTCACGCACTTTCTTTTCAGATGGGGTCTCGTTCTCATGAGGCCTGGGATTGGACTTAGGTGGGCGCCCACGGTGCTTTGGCTTTTCCGCATTGGGCACTGGGGCTGAGACTGGATCCCCACCATTTTCATCATGATCTTCCTCCTTGCTGCCGCTAATGTCCATCTGCTTCTTCTCTGCTTTG